GTCGAACTTTCGAACGAGTTCTGGAGTGATTTCGATGCATTTGTCCATAAGACGCTTCAGCACCTTGACGGTAAACGCCTTCGGTTGGCAACGATAATGTCCGTAAAAGCAGCGATCAGAAGTACAGCGCACACTTCTGAGGTAACGAGGAAAGTGGTCCGCGCCCAAGTCCATCCACTGTACCGTCGTCTCACATGACCACGGCAGGGAGGTCGGAGATGCGGAGCGACGGACCCGCTGATTTACGGGCTTATGTCTTCTTCTGCGTTGATTGCGGTCTTTGGAATTCGCTGCTTTCCTCCGTGAGGCGTTCTTCTGCGCGGAGTACGTAACAGCAAAGTCTAACAGCTCGTTGCTGTTCACGTCATGGGGTAATACCTGACGATAATTCGGATCGACAGAGAACGGGACATCTGCGGCGTTAGTCGATAGAACGCCGTCCGAGAAAAGCCTGCCCTCGCCGTCTGCAGAATCGAAGTCGACGTCGCCAAACACCGGCTTGAACATACTAATATCCGCCGGTTGCTGGATGCTCATGTATCGGGCGTTGAACGCCGCTCCAAGCATCTTCTTCAGTTCCTCAGGTGCCGTCTGTTGACACAGGCGGTAGCCAACGGTGACGCTGTACAACGCAAACTGATAGAGAAGGAACAGTATTACATAGTATACCAAGCTCATAACAAGCAACACAAGAGCCACATCGATTATCATAGCCTTCAGGGCAGTAATGGCATCGACTGGCAGCGCAATGAAACCGTCACGAACCTCATCCACGAACAGTAGCGAAATAAGTCTTGCTTTGTCTTAAGGTCAATCAGGCGCGGCATAAAACCGATACAACGTGCCTCGTTTGCCGGTTGGGTCATACAGACGTCGTCGTCGTCCATTTCTCACGTCATCTGATGTCACATGCACTAAAGGTCAGTCATGTTTGCCAGCGTGACAGCTCGCGCGACAGAGCTGATGTGAGGTTAGTTTTGGCAGTTTTATGGCTAAAGCAAAATTGGAAACTGAGTTGCCATTTCATCATTCGTTGTCATGCGTCGCTTCACGGATGCTAATAGGGCATTGGACTGGCGATCGAAACACGTACCTCATCGACAGGAGCGCTTATTGGACAACCACGCTACGTTTTAGGCATTCGAGGTCAAATTACCTGAATGACAGCGATCGAAGCATGAATCGAAAAAGAAAAACAATTCTCTAATCCCTTTTTGTTAAAACCGTCAGGAATACCGGTGCTTTCTAAAATTCTTAATTTTTGATGCGGCACTTTCTGAATGACTTTCTCTACACTATAGTTTAGGCTACAAGGACATGCTGCACGATCCAATTTTTAATTCGTCGTTGGGTCATGCCGTCTTTTCCTCTTCCGTTGAATTACCTGTTTGCACACAACGTTGCTCGCGTTATGCATCACAGTGACCTCTGTCATCGGTTATTGCTTATAACTGCCTGGATTGTTTAGAGACATGTGTGATGGTAAATGAAATTGAAACAACCATTCGACAAGACAATCCACCGTCTGAACCGAAGGCTATCTCCGCATACCCC